AGTTCGAACCCACCAGAAGAGACATAGTAGCACCGCCAAGTAACCCAACAAGAAGAGGGGGAGCTGGATTTCCAGCTCAAACAAGAAATGTAGATGTACCCAAAGAACAAATTTTTAGCTGGATCTCAGCTTAACAAACACAAAAAGAGCTACAGGAAAGAAAATGCAACCATAAACAAACCTTGGCAAAGAAACAAATATCCTCAGCCATCTTAGCTCCTAGTTGCAAAGAAGCAAACAAAAAACCAAAAGGGTGTACAAAAAACTCAAAATCTTGAAGTATTCTTCATCCCCTTATACTTAGCAGGCAGTGATCTATGTGTTATGAGCAGAGAGTTTAGCAAAGGGCATTAATTTAAAGCTGGAACCTCTAGCTTCGAGAAACACCTCGCTAGTTTAGTTATGCTCGTCTCTTTCAATTCAGAATTTCTAAAAGGGAATATTGCGCTAACAAAATAGGAAAGAGAAATCCCATAAGAATTTAACTATGTATAATAATCCTGAATTATTATTTTTTTGTTTATCAGCACACTTCTTAAGAAATTATAAATAACATAATAATTTTACAATATCAATTTTTGAATATAATAAATATAATATTTTAAAAATGTAATAGAAAATGACTTTAATTAATAATAAGAGTAAATTAAAAAATAAGTGTAAGATTATCTATTGATTTCATAGAGTGAACAAGTATTGTTGGATATCTTAATATAACACTATAGTGGATAATTATTATTGGACGGAGAAAGTAAGAAAAAATTTGTATTATTTTTCGAAGATGATAAGAAAAAACTCATTTCTCATATTTGTTAGGTTAATAAATTACCAAAATCAATAAAAATTAGCTAGGAGTATGATTTTTCGTACATATAGGAAGAAAAATTCGAAGTCATAATTTAGGTTTCCAAAATAGTGGTGGGGTGCTTGTTGGTGCAATCGCACTAATTACTACTTGTCATCGTACCTCTAATTGTGTGATGTTAATATAATATAAGGTATGTTCAATTTATGTTTTAGGTTTTGGTTTCACCTTTTTTGTCATTTATCTATATCCAACTCATAATGGCAATAGAACCGTAATAAAAACGCCAAAATTCTGGCATGCTTCAGGGTAGACCCTCTGACTTGACTTTTTGTCTTTTTTCAACTTTTTTACGCACGAAGTTTTTATGCGTTAAGTAAAGTTTTTATTATCTAAATTTAAATTTGTTTGTCTTGTTTTTTTAAATAATTTTTAGTTTAAATTTTTCACGTGAAATGTCTAAAATTATGAGATTAAATGATATTATTGATACATTTGATATATTCTTAATTTATAAACAACAAATAAAAATAAAGGTTTATATATATTTACAATATCGAACAAATAAAAATAAGCACAGAAATAAGCATGTATATTTCAACATGAGCCATATATGCTCATTGACTTGATGTAGATTTGTAAATTTCAAATGTAAGTTCGTTCTTTTTAATGTTTACTACCTATACTGCAATACATTGTCATGGTATTTATTGTCTACATGCATAAAATATTGTCTTTTTCTTTTGACATGCATTACTAATTCTTGTCCAATTAATTATTGCATTGTTAGTCTTGTATAACTAATTCATTAATTTTGGTAGTCTTAATTTTTGCATAATTAATCTCTAAATTACAAGGCCGTGTCATGTTAGAACAAGAATGATAAAAGTACAAGGAATTGATTAAAACAAAACTTGTTTGGCTTAGAGGCACGTTAAAACGTTTCTTGAAGATAGTTGGAGTCTCTTCCACGAGCAATCGAAAGAATAAATAACAACTCTGTCTCCGAGATTCAACGAAGCCACAAACAAGTAGCATTCAAGAATGTTGTTCTTCTATTCTTGAATTGGTGATATCACCTTTTGATTAATGTCTCACAAATGTTTTTCAAGGGAAAGTAGTTTTTTGAGTGCTTGTTCTTTTCAATCAAAAGAAACTCAATTTATAGAACAAAAGTTTTGCAAGAAAAAACTTTAATTAAATTGTATTTATCATAGGTTCATGAATTGAAAAGAAAACTTATATTTCAAAAACTACTAACGTAGAATTAAAACAAAAGTATCTTTCAAAAAACCAATAACGTAGAATTAAAACAAAATGAATGTTACAATTCACATTCATGTATTTTGTTATTTCAAAACTTAATGGATAAATTTGTATCAAAATTAATTGAAATACCAACTCTTACACGTCATAGATAATTTATATTGAAACCAAACAACCCTTGGTTAAAAAAAAATTAAAAAAATTACAATTTTGATCTCAAAGCGAATACTATCACAGTACTTTTTTCCAAATATTTATGGTCAAACGACACCTTTAAAGAATATCTTTGAATCTATTTTTCTCAATAACAACCTAATAAAAATAGTAAATCAATCATAACGTGTTTAGCCTATAGTAGTAATAATAACAATAATAATACAGGAAGAATCTCTATACAGTATTATATATTGCGTAAACAACTTAAATTCATTTTGCAATATTGTGTTATTTCTCCCCCATCTTAGTAATAGGCTTTCTTAAATTTGCAAGTTTTGAGAAGTAAGAAATTTGTTTCCTCTCGGAATACATTTGTCAACCCAATACGACCAAAGAACCAACAAACTGAAGTGGAAGGAAGGTGGAAATCTGATGTCCTTTAATTTGGAAAAATTCTTTTTCGCCAGAATTTGATTAGAATGATATTTTACCTATGTTATTTTATTTTTTAAAATATTTTTATCCTTTTGACTTTAATTTCTTTTAATTAAAAAATGAAAAAAAAGATCAATTTATTTTAAAATAAAAAAAATATTATAGATTTTTAAAATTTCTAACCAAATTTTGGCTAAATTTTCTGGTCATTTAGCACTACCCAAAGAAAGGAATAGAAAAGTACAATTCAAAAAGATATAAATTAAAGGTGGGGGGAGGGGGAATCCTTTTGGCCAGAATTTGGCCAGAAAATTAAAAAATATATGCTATTTTACCTTTTAAAACATTTTTATCCTTTTAACTTTAATACATTTTAATTAAAAAATGGAAAACAAATCAGTTTAACTTTAAATAAAAAGAATACTATATACTTTTTTAATTTTCTGGCCAAATTTTAGTCAAATTTTCTGTTCATTTAGCATTATCCCCTTTCTTTAATTATAACATGGGTAGTTTTGTAATAAAGAAATGTCATAATTATCTGATGGAAGTTTGGAAATGAAAGAAAGACAGGAAAAAAAAGATCTCTTTACGCAATCTCCTATTCCCTCCGTCTTAAATTACTGTTGTGATTTTTAAATATAATTATCTCTTTCATTTTAGAAATTCGGAAAAATAATAATAATTTTTTCATGTTACTTTTTGTAATAATTGTTCGGTAAAATTACAAACACCTTAAAAGAGTAAATATTTTGTCCACTATTAATTTGACATTGAGATTAAGAAACAGTAAATAATAGGAGTAATTAATCAAATCACTCTTATTAATTATAAGTCATTTAAACATTCAAAAATGAATAGTACTCCCTCTGTTCCTTTTTATACCTCATTTTTACTATAAATAGTTGGTCCATAGTACTTATCATTTCATAAAATTAATGCATAAATTACAATATTATTCCTATTATTTCTTTGATTAGTTAATTAGCCTTGAAAATAGATATTTGACCAACCTAGGAAAATTAAGTAAAGAATTCATGGTCATTGGGCAAATTAATCAATTATAATAAATTAATTCATATTCATTGATTGAAAACTTACATAGTTTCTTAATGCACGTGAAATCTAAAATGATGACATATAAATAAAGGAAAAATCCTTTTGACCAGAATGGTGTTTTACATATGTTATTTTTATCTTTTTCAACATTTTTACCATTTTAACTTTAATACATTTTAATTAAAAAATGAAAAAAAGATAAGTTTATTTTAAAATTAAAAAGATATTACTTACAATTTTTTTAAATTTCTGGCCATTTAGCATTACCCATAAATAAAAATAGAGGGAGTATTTAATAACGAAGGTAAAATATTTTCTTAATGCTAATTGACCAGAAATTTAAAAAGTCTATAAAATCTTTTTTATTTGGGACAAGGGTCTAAAAAATACCCCAACTTTGGTCGAATTTGTTGTTGCGATACTAAACTTTCATAAGGACCTATTACCTCCCTAGACTATTTAATACCGTATTTTTTACCCCCTGAATTATTTAATAGTGTATTTTAAAGGTATATATGTGCCCACGTGGACACACTACTATTTCTAATTTTGCATTATTTTTTATGTCCACGTGGGCAAATATATATGTTTAAAATACGGTATTAAATAGTCTAGGGAGGTAATAGGTCCTCATGAAAGTTTAGTATCGCAACAGCAAATCTGACCAAAGTTGAGATATTTTTCAGACCATTATCCCTTTTTATTTTATAATAAACTGGTTTTTTTCCCTTTTTTAATTAAAAGGTATTAAAGTTAAAAGGGTAAAAATGTTTTAAAAGGTAAAATAACTTAGTGTGAGATATGTTATTTTACCTGGCCAAAAGGATTTTGCCAAATGATAAATTATTTATTGATTTTATAAACTGAACAAATATTATTATTCCAAAATAGTACAGTGGACAAATAAAAATGGACGACAGAAATACATGACTCACTTTTCTTTTTCAGTCTAAAAAGAATGACAAGTTTATCATAATAATTTAACTTTAAAATATTCATTTTATCTTTAATGAAATGAATTTATGATCTTATGTTATAGCACAAGTTTCAAAATGTTTTTTTTAATCTCCATAAAAGAGGCATCCTAGAAATGATTATTATGAGTCAACGTAGTTGCAATGCAATAAGTTTGATGTTTGTAAATACTATGCTTTTTCTTTCTCTCTTTCTTTTCGCTAAGATTACTTAACGAGCCTCAGTTTTGTTTTCTGTGAAGTGGTCCATGGTGCATCAAACCCATTATTTTTGGGCTCATTCATGACATCCATTAATGGTCATCATGATAAGAAAATTAAGTGCTGGTATTTAATGGAGTAGCAATTAGCAAAGTAATAACAACTCTCTTGGTTCACTTTTATTTGTTTTATTACTATCTCCGTTCATTTTTAATTGTCATAGTTTCTTTTTTAGAGTCAAATTATAAAAAATTTGACTAACATTTTAAGATGTATTTTTTCATCATATTGATATGCAAAAAATTGTAATTTATAGTGTGTTTCGTATAGTTTTTGAATATCTAAATTTTTTGTTTAAAATATTGAACTAATGTAATATAATTTAACTTTGAAAATTATTCAAATTGATTTTCGAAAAACGCAACATGACAAATAAAAGTTGACGGAGGAAGTATATACTAAAATAAATATTTATTTTTATTTATTTTATTTTAAAAATAATAAATAATTTATCATTTTATATCTATTTTATTTTTGTTAATAAGTATTTCTTTATTGTGTGAGATGACTTATAATAATTAAGGGAGATAAAAGTAAAATTATTATTTTATTATTGCTTCTCCAACGGTGTCTCAAGTCAAACATGGAGGGGGAGAGTACTACTACTTTCATCCTAAATTATTTGTCAAATTATTTTACCCTCATTTATGTCTTTAGATATAATACTTCGTTTCATTAAATATTTACTCTATTATGGTGTTTATAATATCCAAAAAAATATTATTAGGAAAAATGGGAAAAGAAAATTAATTTGAGATAATTATATTTTGAAAATAATGATAAACAATTTGAGATCGGGAAGTACTGGAAATACAGTTTCTCTTGTCCATACTATTAATTGCATAACAGATTGAATTTGTTCTAAAATATTTAACGTTTTAGAAAGTCAAGAAGTTATTGATGGATTGTGTTATTTTGAAATCCATTCTTATTATTCCAATAAGTGTAGTGTTTATTAATCAAGGGAAATATTTAAACCATGATGAAAAAAAATTATTTAGAGAAATATCTCATGATTAAGAATAATGTAAGAGAATTTAAAGCCATGAATCTAGATTAATCAAAGGGTAGAGTACTGCAGTGGCAATTATAGCAAGTCAGCATATAGATTAGAGCGTTGAAATTTTCTAAATAGGTTTGCTTAAGTTATCCACTTATATATATATATATGTTGATTCTAAATTCTAACATCTTGCGTGTTTTGTGACAATTTAGTTATTGTTCAACCACGGTGTTGACTTTTGTTTTCCTTTTTTATTAACACTTCTCAATGTTGTTCTTTAATTTGTCCCTTTGCTCGACCAAGGGCCTCTCCCTAAATACAAGTGAATTACTATTAATTCTAGTAAAGCATGGAATTATAAAAATTATTACTTCCTCCGTAATTTTCAAAATGAATGTAATTTGAACTTATAATTTTACGTTTATTAAGAAAAAATAGGATGAGAATTTATCATTCTAAACTAATGGCTTTTAAATAAGTTGAGTGTTCAATAAGAACAACCCTAAATTTAGACGTGTAATTAAAAAGTTGTATCAATTTTAATTGTGTCTCGATAGGTTCAGTTTTATACTTGAGACCATTTACCTTATGTTTTATTTAAAGAATTTGTGTAATTAATAAAATCTCATGATAATATGAATATTTTTTTATACGATATGGATATTCAACACAATATATTTGTCAGACTATCAAACACATGTTATAGTTAATTAAAACACACACCTTCTCTTTTAAGTATCGATTAGCGTTTGTTTAAAATTAAAGATAATTTTTCCACTAGACTGGCTAGACCAGCTAGTTGTGTGGAATTTATATAGACCTACCATCTATATACTAGTGATACCGACCAACTAGTATTAATCTATCGTTAAATAGTTTGTAATTATTAATAATTTTTTCTCATAATCAGCTATTGATCCGTCTGTGATGATGAACGGATGTCAAGAGTCGAGACATCATTTTATTTTTTGTATAAAAGCCGAAAGTGGAAATAACTCTTTTTTTTTTTTTTGCAATGAAATGATGGTTAATCTTTAGTAGGTATAAAGAGTACGTAGTGCAAGTTTTTTTTTTTTTTTTTATATGTAGTGTAATGTAAACTTAAAGCATATGAAGAAAATAAAATTGATTTTAGCATGTAGATTGTGGACCCACGACAGGTCTTAACAACCATGGTTTGATGCAAAAAAAAAAAAGAAAAAAAAAAGGAGGAGAATGGCATAGGAGAAAACTGAGGCGAGAAACAAGATCCAATCCCTGCAGGAAAATTAGGTTTTCTAGGACAACCTTAATTACTACTACTTCGTTATAAGTAAATTAACTAAACAATGTTTTACGCTACAAGGCTCATGATTCCCAAGTCGGCACCTAATTTTTAGCAATTTCGAAATGAGGGAACGTGTTGTTAGGGTCTAAAATCTGCTTTGCAATTGTCCGAGATAAAATTTGCATATTTGAGTTAATCGAAACCTAAACATATCTATTTGATAAATATATTAAGTATTTATCGAAAATAATTTTTTTATGAGCAACTTTCATATATAGCAAACAAAAAAAATCATATTTGTATGTTATAGCAAAATTTGCATAATTGCGCTCCATAGCAAACATATATATGTATAATTCGCTATACATATACAATTGAAAGCTGTCTATTTCGCTATACATATATACAAAAAGAAGCAATTGTAAATTCGTTGGCTCTTCTTCAGATTTGTATAATTTTGCTGGCAAACCATTTGTATAAATTGTTGTTAGCCTCTCGTTTGTATAAATCGTTGACAAAAATATTTGTATATCAAAAATCACTCTCTCTTTTGCTTTATACAAACATAAATTATACTTTATACAAACATAAAACTGGGCAGGGAAATATTTTTATTGTATAATTATAAGTGTATAAGACGAATATATATGTATTCGCATGTGTATATATAATTTTCTCGCGCTTTATACAAACGAAAACTCAATTTATACAATTCTGTTGTATAAAATGAGAAAGAGAGAAATGCAAAAGAGAACTGGGCAGGGGAATTTTTTTATTGTATAATTATAAGTGTATAGGACGAATATATATGTATTTGCATGTGTATATACAATTTTCTCTCGCTTTATACAAACAGGAACGCAATTTATACAATTCTGTTGTATAAAGCGAGAGAGGCAAGCACAGAGGGAGTGAGCGAGAGAGGAGAGTGGCGAGCGAGAGTTTGAGGGAGAGAGGCGCTGACAAACAGTTTGCTACAGGACACAATTAAATCAAAGTGTGGTTATACCATTTAATTTGAATTAATAGTTTGTCATTATGTACAATTTTTCCTTTTTTTATCCCACAAAAAATAGGGGTAAATTGCCTGGGTAAATACTCTATCCGGTAAGCCCGGGGTCGCTTTCAATTTTTGTTTGGTAGCAATTTTAGTATTGGGCCTTTTAAAGATTTGGCAGAACTGGAACAGTTTCTTAGGGTGTGTTTGGTATGAAGGAAAACATTTTCCGGAAAATGTTTTCCAATTTTCTCATGTTTGGTTGGGTTAAATGTTTTGGAAAATGTTTTCCAAATCAACTCATTTTCCTCAAATTTAAGGAAAATGACTTCCCTTCAAAACTTAAGGAAAACATTTTCCAAAACTTTCTTCCAACTTCCAATTAAAAAAAAAATTGTTAAAAAAATCAATTTATTTTGTCCCTACCCTCAAACCAACCCCCCAACCAACCCCAAATAATAATTTAAAGCTTGTTTTTAAATTCAATTTTTTTACCCACCCTCACGCACCTCCTACCCAGCCCCCCACCCGCCCCACCCCTACCACCCCCCCCAAAAAAAATAATTTAAGTTTGTTTTTAAAAAATAATTTCAACTTCAAAATTCATTTTTTCATGCTACCCTTGACCCCCCCCCCCCACCCACCTCTTACCCAGCCCCCCTACCAGCCCCCCACCCCCAAAAAAAATTTAAGTTTGTTTTTAAAAATATTTTCAATTTCATTTTTTCACCCCTACCCTAGACCCCCCACCCACCCCCTACCAGCCCCCCCCCCCCCCCAAAAAAAAATAATTTAAGTTTGTTTTTAAAAAATATTTTCAACTTCAAAATTTCATTTTTTCACCCTACCCTTGACCCCCCCACCCCCCCTCCCCAAAAAAAAAATTTAAGTTTGTTTTTAAAAATATTTTCAATTTCAAAATTTCATTTTTTCACCCCTACCCTCGACCCCCCCCCCACCACCCCAAAAATAATTTTAAGTTTGTTTTTCAAAAATATTTTCAATTTCAAAATTTCATTTTTTTCACCCCACCCCCTACCAGCCCCCATCCCCCCAAAAAAATTTAAGTTTGTTTTTAAAAAATATTTTCAACTTCAAAAATTCAATTTTTCACCCCTACCCTCAACCCACCCCCTACCACCCCCCACCTCACCCCCAAAAAAATTTAAGTTTGTTTTTAAAAAATATTTTCAATTTCAAAAATTATTTTCTACCCTAGCAAAAATAAAAGATATTTCTCAAAAAAAATAAAAAATCATTCATAAATCAAACACTAAAAATCTTTTCCAGAAAATATTTTCTACTCACCAACCAAACATGAGAAAATAAGTCAAAAATCAACTTGTTTCCAGGAAAACATTTTCTAGGAAAACATTTTCCATGGAAAACATTTTCCTTCATACCAAACACACCCTTAAGATAACCCAATCTTCCTGAATGATCCAAGAAAGGTCCACTTTCTTAGGTGTATTTGAACGAAGAAAATATTTTTTTAAAAAAACAGTTTTCAGTGAGATATGTTATTGTTTAGTAACTTTCGCAAATAGCCACTATAATAAATTTAATTATGCTCTATATCTATAATTTGTATATTTACGGGCTGTAGTTACAGTTTAAGTTGTCTCGTTTGTATAATTCGTCAATTTGTATAATTTGTAGGTTTGTATAATTCGCGGGTACATTTGTATAATTCAGTTGTTTTTGTATATATAAACTCGAAATAACGAATTTATACAATTACAAACATCAGAAGTGTGAACAATTATACAAATTCCGAGTTATACAAAATTTATACAAATTCCGAATTATACAAACGTGCGAATTATACAAAACTAAAAAGTTGAGCCGCGTAATTATAGCTAAATGTAGGTCGTGAATTGTAATTAAGGCAAACTATAGCTATGTTAAGTAATTAACTAGTATATGTTTGCTTATACGCGTAATTTTCCCTATGTTTTAACGGTGAGTTATCTCATAATCATATACTCCTTTCGTCTCAATTTATGTGACACTTTTTGGATTTCGAGATTCAAACAAGTCTATCTTTGATCGTAAATTTTATTTTATATTTTTTCATTATTTTGAATTGTCAATTATTGTGACTTATAATATTTCTTACGTAGTTTACACATATAAATTTCATTTAAAAAAAAATGAAAGATTCCACGAGCAAATTTCCCGTCAAACCTAAATTGTTTGACTCTCGAAAAACGAAAAATATCACATAAATTGAGACAAAGGAAGTATAATTAGTAATTTATTTGTTTCATTGTTTATTCCTTCTTGTTTAGTTGTAATATTAACATACAATGTATATCTCTCCTCCTCCTCCTCCTCCTTCTTCTTTTCAAGCCAAATTTGTCAAAGCCTTGGCTTAAACTCATATCTTCTTAAAATTTCTTTTTTAAAATACAATAATCATTCACTTAATTGTATTTTTTTCGAAATAAAATAATTTGGCAGAAATCCATTCTATATATTTTCTACGGATCAAATATGCAAAAACTTCATTAAAACTCCATTATTTTTAACCTAAAACAAAGTTTAAGCCTAAATTTTGAGGTATTTTGTCTATTATTTATAATGACATATTTAAGGTGGCTCCATAAAATTTAAGCATTAAGGATCTTCTAGTCTAAGATACATAGTATTATTGGGTTTATAATTAAAGACATAGCCTTTCATCAATACATCCAGTCTAAATTTTCTTAGACATTTAGCTCGAAAAAGAAGAATTACATAGTTGAAATCAGCATTCCATCTAAGAATCAATACACAGTTGGCCAGATCGTTGAAAAAATAGCACTTATACATAACTGCCACGTATATTAATATAATATATATAAAATTAATACACAGGTGAAGCTCTTATCATCAATTGTGCTGGTCAACTATGTATAAAACATACATAACAATTAACCGTTGAAAAATATCCTACTTGGCTAGAGAAACTAATTTTCCAACTTTTTCCTCTTTCACATGCCTTAAAAGAGTGTGACAATACTCTTTATCGATTAATCATTTTAGTTCGAGAATGCACTGAATAAAAAAATGTCAAGTCTAGGTTCTGAGTTTTTAGGCCTTCAAGATTAATTTTGTGAGCTTGAGGAATTGACCTTTTCTTTTAAGTCGGGTTATAATTACAAATTAATTGGTACGAGTTGCTTCTAGTTGATTTTCCTGTTGCTTAATTAATTTGTTTTAACCCATAAATGCCGTGTATACTTTTTCTTATTTATATATAATTCAAAGTACTCTGAAGCATGATATAGAAATATAATAATAAAGGTCAAGCAACATCAGAAATATTTCAAAGGCAAACAGGCAATAGCGTACAAAGTATATCTTGAAGAAACTTAAGAACTAGGTACAACACGTTTGCACATTAAAATATGAAGCATAATGTACAACACATCGTATGATTGGTATTCTAAAAAAATCAGAAAAATAATTAGTTGACATCATATCCTTATAACTAGATCAGAAAAGAATCTCTTGATCATTTTTTATAGGTCACAACTATGAATTCGAGTTACATAAATGAATATACTACTGATTTCGGTGATGAAAGGGAGTGTGAAACAAAAGCCATGGATTCAATTGTCCTTGATGTTGCTAGACTCTATCTTTTCTGAAACATAATTATCCACATTGGTCCACTGTTAATCAATTTACGCCAATCAAATAATTTAACAATAAGACTTATTTATTTAAGTAAAGATACATATTTGGTCTATTTATGTTTATGTAATCGTATATTTTTTTCAAATTTATTTTAAAAAGAATTAATGGCAAATTCTCGTAGCACACAAATATTATAACATGCTCAGAATTCATAGTTGTGGAGCTCCCTCCAAAGGTTCCTCTTGATCTAGCTACATCTACAAGGATGGGACAATAAGGAACCTAAAAGAAAGTATTACTACTAGTTGGATCAAAAAAAGGATTTTTTTTCAAAGCGATTTCCAAAAAGTGATTTGATTAATAGGATTTGGTATAATTTCAATGAGATTGATATTTCAGTCTTTCTTCTTAGAACGTATTAATTTTACTCTGTAAAAGGGGAAAAATATGTTCCGCTAGAAGCAAAATCCCAAAAAGCAGAAGTTTCAAAAATCTTAGTCATAAGTTATGACATGCCTAAAACTATAAGTTAAAAAATCTTAAACACTGCACATAGATGAAGTATCAGATTTAATGACATAGATGAAGTATCACTTCAAGTATAATTATACAAGATATATTTTCGCTGTTTTCTTGCAAGTAATTATGTATTGACTTTTTTTCCTTGTTAGACTTTTCTCCTTCATTTTTTAGGAGTATTAATTTTTAAGCTTCATTTTATTCTACTTGCACTACAAGCAAATCAAATTTTGAACAAAACATTACTGCAGCACCACTAAAAGAAAGGAATTAATAAAAAAACAGATCCCAGGTAGAATTGGTACAACTTGGACAGTAAAAAAATAACTTGAACTCAATATATTCTTCAACAATCTTTCAAGTTAAAATTAACTCTCGACTTTGTCCATGAACTCGTCAAAGATCAGTTTATATATCCTATTTGTTTTGATCAATGACAAAGACACCTTAATATTTTTTTCCTTTATTAATTTATCTTTGCACAATGTTTCTATTTAATGGCATTATGATTAGCATATGAAATGAAGTAATTACATCGCTTTAATTATATATCTATTGGATTAATATATACTATTCGGAATGAAAAGGAAGTTGAAGGTGAATCATCTCGAGTAGCAATGCCACCTCCCAACACAGGGAAGCTGATTACCATTCTCACTATCGATGGAGGAGGAATTAGAGGAATTATTCCTGGGGTTATTCTTGCATATCTTGAATCACAACTTCAGGTAATTAATAAAAAAGAGTACAATTGTTGGCTATATATGTATACGCGTACTATATATTAATTCAATTTTGTTTGAAGGAATTGGATGGTGAGAATGCAAGAATTGCAGATTATTTTGACGTGATAGCAGGAACAAGCACGGGTGGCCTTGTAACAGCCATGTTAGCTGCACCAAACAAAGATAAACGCCCTCTTTATGCTGCCAAAGATATTACTCCTTTTTATATTGAACACTCCCCCAAAATATTTCCCCAGATCAGGTTAAACCATGCTACATATATATACGTATGATTCTTGATTTTTCTTTTTGGGGTAAGGGTGATTTAAGTGCAACTCGATTAGCTATTTTAGATACCTTCTACTTTCTATTAGTATTATAAGTATCAAACATAATTATACATACCAAGACTTGAACATATGGGAAAAAGTCAACTACGTACTAGCTAATTCTTTGTTTGAACGATATGCTCTTATGATTTTCATTCACTTAATTGACTATCAAATCACACCCTTAGATGCATATATCTTGATTTTTCTACGATAAAAAGAAATTCGTTTCTTTTTCAAATAATGGTGTTATATGGGCAATAATTTACCTTAACTATTCTATTGGATACCTGCTAAGGTAACCATGTGTCCGTGCCTACCAAGACTTTAGGCATATTGGTTTTGTGATCACTACATCACCACTAAATCCTTCACTAGCGACGTGGAAGTTGTCACTAATTAGATTTCACTTTTTGTGATCACTACATCACCACTAAATCCTTCACTTTAGTGGCGACTTGGCCAAAAATTGTGTTATAAAAAATACTTTTTTGTAGCGGACAATTTGACTCATTGTGGTGATAAGTGTTGCCGCAAATGAGCGTATCTTGTGGCGACTTTTAGTTGTCGTCACAACTCACAAATAACCTTTAGTATGAAGTACTAGCTACAAGCCAATTATCGCTGCTATAGACTTTTAGTAGCGATTTTTGGGCCATTATCAGCGACTTCGTCTCCATAATAAGTCACAGTTCTTGTAGTAGTCCCAGCAGTTTTTTTTGTGTCTTTGCTCACTTTTATAATTTTCACCCACCTCATTAACAGTTAGTTAATTAGAGTATTAGACCACACTTAATTTACAATGAATGCATATCTTTTGATTTTTGTGGGATTAGTTGTTGCAGTGGACTATTTGCTGGGGCCATAAATCTAACCAAAATGATTAACGGACCAAAATATGATGGGAAATATCTTCATGCACTTATAAAGAGACTCCTAGGAGGTACAAGGTTGCATGATACCTTAACTGCTGTCGTAATTCCAACTTTTGACATCAAAACACTTCAGCCAGTTATCTTCAGTTCATATGAGGTGTGCCTTCTTTTGTTTACAACATGTAGAGAAATACGTGAAATTAACAACTTGAAGAAAAAAGACGAATACATACTCAACTATTTAAACTATTTTGTAGGCAAATTCGAAACCTGATTTGGATGCGGAACTGGCGGACATTTGCATTAGTACCTCAGCAGCGCCAACATTTCTACCTGCCTATTGTTTCAAGACCCAGGATGCTCAAAATAAAGACCGTGAATTCAACCTAATTGATGGTGGCGTGGCTGCTAATAACCCGGTAAATAGACAAAACTCTTGAATACCATGGGTGTGTTTGGTACGAAGGAAAACATTTTTCAATTTTCTCATGTTTGATTGGGCTAAATGTTTTGGAAAATGTTTTCCAAATCAACTCATTTTCCTCAAATTTAAGGAAAATGATTTCCCTTCAAAACTTAAGGAAAACATTTTCCAAAACTCTCTACCAACTTCATATTACAATTATTTTTTTGTTGAAAAAATCAATTTATTTTGTCCCTACTCTCAAACCACCACCCCAAAAAAAATAAATATTTTAAAGCTTGTTTTTAAATTCAATTTTTTTACCCCACCCTCATCCCTACCCCCACCCCCTCCCAAAAAAATATTAAAAATTGTTTTTAAAAGATATTTCTAATTTCAATTTTTTATTTTTTTACCCCCCACCCACTACCCTCGCCCCCCATCAGCCCCCCTATCAGCCCCCAACCCCCTTCAAAAAGAAAAAAATTTAAGTTTGTTTTTAAAAAATATTTTCAACTTCAAAATTTCATTTTTTCACCCTACTCTTGACTCTCCCACCCCCACAAAAAAAATTAAGTTTATTTTTAAAAAATGTTTTCAATTTCAAAATTTCATATTTTCACCCCTAGAACCCCCACCCACCCACCCCCTACCAGCCCCCCACCCCCCTCCCCAAAAAAAAAATAAAAAATTCAAGTTTGCTTTTAAAATATATTTTCAATTTCAAAATTTCATTTTTTCACCCCTACCCTTGACCCCCACCCACGCACCACCTACCAGCCCCCCCCCCCTTCCCACCACCCCAAAAAATAAAAATATTTTCAATTTTTAAATTTCATTTTTTTCACCCCTACCCAGTCCCCCCCACCCCACCCAACCCCTACCAGCACCCCCCCCCCCCCCCACGCCCAAAAAAATAATTTAATTTTGTTTGTAAAATATATTTTCAACTTCAAAATTATTATTTTTCACCCCAACCCTCGACCCCCCACGCACCCCCTACCAGCCCCCCACCACCCCCTACCAGCCTCCACCCCAAAAAAAAATTAAGTTTGTTTTTAAAAAATATTTTCAACTTCAAAATTTCAATTTTTGATCACCCCTACCCTCGACCCCCTCTCACCACCACCCCACCCCCAAAAAAAATTTAAGTTTGTTTTTAAAAACTATTTTCAATTTCAAAAATTATTTTCTATTCTAGTAAAAATAAAAGATATTTCTCAAAAATATTTTTCATTCATAAATCAAACACTAAAAATCTTTTCCGAAAAATATTTTTTACTTTTCAACCAAACATGAGAAAATAAGTCAAAAATCAACTTATTTTCCAGGAAAACATTTTCCTTCATACCAAACACACCCCACTACTTGATAATGATTGATCACTTTTTTCTTTTTTTATGTATGTGATCATGAATATATTTTAGACATTGATCGCAATTGGTGAGGTGACGAAGCAAACATTGATGAAGCATGGAGACTTATTCCCTATCAAGCCTATGGATTATGGTCGTTTTCTAGTGATCTCACTGGGTACAGGCAATGCAAAAAATGAGGAAAAATACAATGCTAAAATGGCTGCGAAATGGGGATTACTTAGCTGGTTAACTCATGACAACTCCACACCAATCATAGAAGCTTTTAATCAAGCAAGCGCTGATATGGTTGATTATCACAACTTTGTGGTTTTCAAAGCTCTTCACTCAGACGATAAATACCTCCGAATCCAGGTGTACCTCGACCTTCAATTATATCTACAGTATAACTTTATTTATTTAACCTATCAATGATCAATCGTACATTTATTTGATATGACCAGGATGACACTTTGACGGGGAACTTGGCCTCAGTTGACATATCGACAAAGGAAAACTTAGAAGGTCTCATCAAGGTAGGAGAAGAGTTACTGGACAAACCAACTTCAAAGATTAATTTAAACAAAGGAGTTTATGAAGCTGTTGAGAATGGAGGAACCAACAAGGAAGCTCTACGGAGGTACATGATTTGTCTATCGAATTTTTAGACGTGGAACATTCATTATATTAACGAGTAGTTATCGTTTAAAAATGTTACAGGTTTGCAAAGAAACTTTCGGACGAGAGAAAATTCCGTCAGGCTAATGCCGGGCAGTAGCCCGTTCGTCTCATCCACTTTGTTGCTACAGCGTGAATGTATTAATTGTGTGTTTCAGTTTAATAATGTTCCTACTTATTTTTATGCCTTTATAATATAATGTTGGTGGAATTAAAGCTGCATACCTTTTGTAGCAATATCTCCCAAAAATTTCCTACTTTTATAATTTATTTGGTCCTGTTTAATTTATAAGTATATAGTTCATCAATTAGTTTTATATGACACCCTATGTTTACATTCAAAAAAAAAGAAAAGAATTAAAATAAAATTTCTGTTACGTGGGATGGGGCAGATTGAAATCTTCGCGGATTTAAGTCCCCCTCCCTTGCTCCGTTACTATCTCTATAGAAGTGAAGAGACAAAAAAGAAGTCAGACAGCATGATTATGAGAAGGAATTTAACAATGTTATTTTTTCCTTTCTCATATAAGCGCTCAAGTAAATACCTTAAGACAATGGGTAGAGCACACCCCCTTTGGAAAACCTAACGTAGGAACGGATTAGTCCGCGAAGACTTTAATCCGCCCTACCCCACCCGGCCACGGGCCACCCCACATAATTTTTTTAAATAATATTTTTTACACGGTGCCATTCTCTAAAAATATGTAATTATAACTTACCTCAAAATTTAATACCTCCATGAGTTTTTTCAGACTATCTGTGAAGCTGTTATCAAGTAGTATAAAATATTCTTGCTAATAAAAAAATATTCTAGATCTAGATGGCTGATGATGCAGACCTGTATTTCAAGTTGATCTTGACGAAGAATGCCTCTAGGACTAGAATCTAGATCACTTTGACTTTAATAAAGACAATATCAGATATTTTTGCTCTTTTTATCAATACCTAAGAGTATGAAATATTAGCTTGAGATGCATTTTCAATAGGTGTGAGCTAGGATTTAACATTAAGTAACTACCATCAAAAACTCTAACAAATCTTAAAGGTCAAAGAACATGAATTAAGCTCATCTTATAAAAATTACCTTAAATGAAGTTTTTTTTTTTTATGCCTCACATGGTTCTATGCTTCAAAGAAGGTAAGCGGGATAAACGTGTGAAATCGTGCATTTGTTAACTGGAACCAACACATGTCCAACAATTAATTTTCCAGGACTTGTAATTAAATAAATTTGAATTATTAGATGCTGGTACAATTACTTGGACAAGACGCTGAAGAAACTATAAAAAATATTATTACTAGTTCTTAACTATTACTCCATCTTATCTAATCTTTAATTCCGTTTCTTTGTCTTAATTATCATTTAGAGAATATTTGTCTTACAATAATTTTTTCAAATACCTTCTAAATATTGTGACTTGTTAACGATTTTAACTTACAATGCTTTTTATATGTTTTTAAATATGTAAATTATATTCAAAAAGTTAAATATTTATATTCATATACACACCAAACTTTAGTTATTTTGATCTTCATACTTCGAATTAAGTCGAACAAATTGAACAAAGAGAGAGTATTGCTTACCCCATTTATTAATTAACTTAAACTCAAGACATAATTCAGCCATCTTATTTGATTGGATGGTGGAACTCTTGTCGAAGAAGACTCAGTTGAGATTTGTCCATGAACTCTTCAAAGATTAGTTTATATATCCTAGTTGTAATAATCATAGACAAAAACACGTAACTTTTAATATTTATCTCCTCTTTTTTTTTTTAATGATAATTATCACCATTTAAGACAATGTGTCTATTTATTCCAATCATGATTAGCATATGAAATGAACTAATTGTTGAGTCGCTCTCTATATCTATCCTATTTTACGTGAACTATCTTTTGGATATTCCGATGGAAAACAAAGCTGCAGGTCGAGTAGCAATGCCGCCTCCCACCAGAGGGAAGCTAATAACCATTCTCTCCATCGATGGAGGAGGAATTAGAGGAATCATTCCCGGGGTTATCCTTGCATACCTTGAAGCACAACTTCAGGTAATTTTTACTTAAAGAGTAAAAAAAAAAAAAAAATTGTTCAAAAGTACATTAATTATAAGTTAAAAGTTGAAGTCATGATCAACTTTGAATCTTAGATCTGTCAGTGAATATATCGGTTTTGCTTGCAGGAATTGGATGGTGAAGATGCAAGAATCGCGGATTATTTTGACTTGATAGCGGGAACAAGCACGGGTGGCCTTGTAACAGCCATGTTAGCTGCACCAAACAAAGCTAAACGCCCTCTTTATGCTGCCAAAGATATTACTCCTTTCTATCTTGAGCACTCCCCCAAAATCTTTCACCAGATCGGGTAAACTATGCTACCTAAGTTTATATATATAATTCTTGATTTTTTTTTTCTTTTTGGATATATTAACCGTTAGACCACACCCTTAAAATACACCTATATCTCTTAATTAATTTTTGCAGTGGACCATTTGGTGGGGTGGTAAATCTAACGAAAATGTTGAACGGACCAAAATATGATGGGAAGTATCTTCACACACTTATAAAGGGGCTACTAGGAGGTACCAGGTTGCATGATACCTTAACTGCCGTCGTAATTCCAACTTTTGACATCAAGGAACTTCAGCCTGTCATCTTTAGCTCATATGAGGTGTTTCTTCTATACCCCTTAATAGTACTGTAAATCATAAAAAAAATAAGTGAAATTAACAACTTGAAATTAATTTGTAGACAAAATCAAAACCTGTTTCGGATGCGGAATTGGCGGACATTTGCATTAGTACCTCGGCAGCGCCAACGTTTCTACCTGCCCATAGTTTCAAGACCAAGGATGCTCAAAATAATGAACATGAATTCAACCTAATTGATGGTGGTGTGGCTGCTAATAACCCGGTAAATATATAGTACAGATAAAATTCTTGAATGATCAGAGTAGAAAATCCGGTAATAATTATATATTTATATGTATGATGGATATTTTAGACATTGATCGCAATTGGTGAGGTGACAAAGCAAGTACTGATGAAGCATGAAGACTTATTTCCTATCAAGCCCATGGAATATGGTCGTTTTCTAGTGATCTCACTGGGGACAGGCAATGCAAAGAACGAGGGAAAATACAATGCTAAAATGGCTGCGAAATGGGGATTACTTAGCTGGCTAACTCATGACAACTCCACACCAATCATAGAAGCTTTTAATCAAGCAAGCGCTGATATGGTTGATTATCACAACTTTGTGGTTTTCAAAGCTCTTCAATCGGATGATCAATACCTCCGAATCCAGGTATATATATCTACCTATCACACGGAATTGTCATGTTATAACAATTTACTTGCCTTATTTTTCAGATTACTAATTAATCTCGTCTGCTGATTGATACGACCAGGATGACACTTTGACAGGGAACTTGGCCTCAGTTGATATAGCGACAAAGGAAAACTTAGAAGGCCTCGTTAAGGTAGGAGAACGGTTGCTGGACAAACCAACTTCCAAGATAAACTTAGACAAAGGAGTTTATGAAGCAGTTGAGAACGGAGGAACCAACAAGGAAGCTCTTCGAAGGTACGTACACTTGTCTATCACATTTATACACGTTGAACATTCATCATTATATATAAATTGCTGAGGAAATAGTACTGATCATTACCTCATTTTAAAATGTTGCAGGTTCGCAAAGATACTTTCAGACGAGAGAAAGTTCCGCCAGTCCAATACCGCTAGTAGCCGGTTGGTCTAAATGAAATTGTATTGTCATCCATTTTAATGTATTGTTTGTTTCAGTTTAATAATATTCCTACTAAGCCATTCCACTTGATGCTTTCATATAAATACATGGTATTCAAGTCGATCCATTTGGGAGACTCCAAAAACAAAGTTAACCAATATAGACATAAACTGCTGCATCCGTAAACACGTCATAAACTGAAGTAATCTGTAAGAATTAAGAGAAATTAAATTCTTAAAGTAAGTAATTTCACATAATTAAGTACCTGAGTAATTAATTCACTCCATATAAAACCAAGTATAAAGTAAAAATAAAAAATAAGGTTGCAAACATAAAAACGACAAGATAGCTGTTTGTGGTACCCCTATTTTTTAAAATAGAGAAGTAAACTTTTAACTGAAATCTAGTTGCTGCTGCTTCAGAAATTCGGGTCTGAAGTTGGGCTCTGGCGAATGGGCCGAGAACGTCGTCATGCTTTGACATATCACCGCCCAGAAGAGAGGCATTAGCTATACAAAATTGAGATACTATCACCCAATCATCCTATTTTAACTAACACAAATGAACAAGGTCATGCAGTAAATATAATAACATCAGCTGACAATGTCCCAAGCTGTGGAATTAATCCTCTCTTTCATAATAAGCTTTTCAGACAGGTGCTTCAGTAAAAATCATTTCGATCAGAAACTCTTGCTCCCGCAATTTTGACAACAGGGTGATCCTTTTGGTTGGATAAGTTTCAAAGCTGGATGAATCCTCAGATCACCCATTAACAACTTTTGGTTAACATCCAACTCACTCAAGTCTACATCAATGTAGTGAGGGATGACATCCGCTGGGCATAGAAACTTTACCGTTCTCTTGATGATATTCAAATATGACCCTACCAAATTGGTTAACCGATAATTATTAAAAATATAACATCCAACTAAGTGGGGTCTTTTTTTTTAAAAACGTATATTAGAAAATAAAAAACAAGAGAGCAAGCAAATAGGAAATGGATATCATCTCACATGTATCCGTGTTTCCTTTCAGCAAGGATTATGTTATTAAACATTTATTAGCATATATTTCAATTCAAAAACTAATAGTAGATACTAAAAGTCTAGAATTTGAATTCACTATTAAATAACTGATATGAAAAGAATAAATATATTTCATTTCGTGGTTATGAACGAATGTTATTGCAGCGCGAGTGATTAAAACTTAAATGATTAGTCCATGTGTCATGAGTTCGAGTGGTTAGGTCCCCCCATTTTAGTTATTTTTTAAAAAACAACTCCCTTTGTAGGTGTGGGGATTTCAATAATTTAAATTTTGTATTTTTTTTAATTAAAAAAAGTGTAAAAGTTAATATTTGGATC